AAAAGGAAATTTTTTAAATATCAACCGTTTTATTGATTTTATTTTTAAATATCAACTGTTATTTTTTAAATATCAACTATAATTTAACGTTTCAGTTTTTGAGTTGACATCATTACGTTTAAGATCAAAGTTTGAGGTCAATAATTTACATCATACATAAAGATTCCTATTTTATAGGAACTTTCATGATATGCTTACAAATAATTCGGAGTTATTTCACTTGTTAAATTAATTAGCTATATTTTAATACTGTATATTCACTCTTCTTTACACTTTTGAAATGTGTTTGTGATAACGTTTCGATTATTATTGCTTAATAACTGCTGAATTTCTTACCCAATGCTTTTACTGTTGTGATTCTCAGATAGAATAAAGGGCACCGATAGCATCCATGCTGGGTATGATTTAATTTCATGAAACCTTGTTAGGAAACGAACTCGAGCGAGCAAAACCAACGTTCTTTTTTTAAAAAAAATTACACATTTATATAGCTGACTATATTTACAGTTAAATTTCTGTTTAAAAATTTATACATTTACATAACCGTTTATATAAGTATACATACTATATAAATATGTTGTTAAAGTTTAAAAATAGAATGTTGCTTTCGCTTTTGAAGAGAACGCAAACATTATTCTTTTGATAAAAACCTTTACTATTTCTTTAACTGATTTAGTCTCTCAAAAATGATCTCTCGTCGAAGCGATAATGAAAAAGCGAAATAGTAATTTCAATTTAGATTACCACTTATGATTTAACTTTATATATCAACTGATCTTTAGAATTCCAACAGTGATAAAGGAAATTTAAAATGAACAATTTTTTTCACGTCATCTCTGATTCTATTTTCTCGAACTTCTTAGATTAATGATGATGAAATCCAACAAAAATTGTAACATTTAATGATTATCATAAATTTAATTAGGTTTATTAAAATAAATAAAATATCTTTGGAAAAAAAATAAAAAATAGAAAACAAACACCAAATTAATTAAATGAATTCGTGAATAGCTTTGCATTATACTAGGTAAGGACAAAGCGTAGAAAATAAAACTCAGTTAATTACTCAGAAAAATAAAATTTCTTTCATTTCTGCGTCACGGAATTACTTTCAGTTATTTTATAGTTTGAGACATTTTGTTATGAAAATTTGAATCACTTTCTGCTAGTTATGCATTACGTCATAGATTCATATATAATAAACACTTTGCAAACTATAAAAATGACCGTTTTAGCTTTATATTACATAAATTTGAATTACAATTTTTAATGAACGAAATATCCTGGATATCAACAAAAGTAGTTTTAGTAATCTTCAATTATATATTCAGATAGCAAGAAAAAAATCCAAAATGGTCTTTGGAAAGCAAATGTATTCAAAAACAAATGCAAACTTGCTTGTAAAAGGGATTGTTGCATTTTACTTAACACGAGAGTTAACTTTTGCATTAATTGAAAAGATAACTCCTGTGACACAAAGCAAAAATAACTACATTTTCCACTTACCAGTTCTTACTATGTTTTAATATCAGTCTGTAAATCTGAAAACATTAAAACAGTATTGCAGTTCGGATGAATGAACTGCCATATCTGTCTACAAAGGTAATAAAAGAAAAGTTAGTTAGATTGAAAGGGTGTAAAAAGCTCTTAGATTCGTCCTAGTCATATAATGAATTTTTTTGAATTATTGTTATTATTTTTCATTTTTGTAATTTTACTTTTTAAAAATCTTCCTTAATTCCTTAATTATTTTTTGACTTTTTTTTAGATGATGGAAGTAAAGTAACTGTAAAGTTTAACTTAGATGGTCTCTGGAAAGTTAGTTACGCTTGTTATTGATGTATCACCACAAATGTAGTAATATTTCAGACTAAGTTTTATTTCTGTAAGGAACTCCAAATGGACAGGGAAATAATCGTTAACATAAATTATTGGATTACTTTCAATGTTTTAAATGAAATATTTCTCAAATTTTATTCCATTTGGAAAAGAATAATATACAACTTCAGAAAATCTGAAAATAATTGCTAACTCTGCATAAGGGTTAAAAGATAACAGCATTCACAAATCGGAAAAGTGCAAGGTAATTCCTAGTTCTCACAAACAACATAAAAATCAATAAAACTGCTAGAAAACGCATTAAAAAAACTAATGAAGTGTTAAAAACGTCGGTGGAATATTTCTTTCCTAATGCATGCCTGCTCATTGAGTAGAATAACAATTGGAACAGGCACACAAGATGATTTATTAAATCTTTCTTCATTTTAATTAAAAAATTAGGCTACATATCACTTTCCCTAGAGTAAAAAAAAATGTACCAAGGAAAAGAGCAAAAAATCACTAATGGTAATTTATTGTTAGGCTAAATAATTAACCAAGAAATCGATTTGTATTAGTAAATACAGAAATCAGCATGCATGAAAAATCTGTCTCCTAGCGTACACGTTCGTTACCTTTAAGTTATTTTCCCCTTGCTTTAAGGCCACTGAGGAATTTCATGAAGCTAAATGTATCCTAATTCAAATTCTATATTCGTAGACACGTGAAAAATATTGTAAAATGCCCACAGTTATATGCTATAGAACACACACACACATATATATATATATATATATATATAATGTTGTATGATCTTAAATTCATTTAGTGCGAAAACAAGTTACTATTACTTGCGCAATTGCTGTAAAGTTAGTTAACTCCTGTGACACAAAGAACTTAGGAGATAACAATGGAACTTAGGAGATAATATAATCAATTAATCAATATTGTTTAGGGTAATAAATTATATCTATAATCTATCTATCTATATATATATATATACATACAACATATAATAAGTCTGTCTCCTGCCTACTCAACAGTCATTCACTTATGCATTAAAAAAAATTGTTTGGATTAATTTTAATTTGCTAAATTAGTGAATTTATTTTCATGGATTGGTTTTGCACTTAATTTGCTTATGCTTCTGAATTTAAATGATATTGTAGATTAGTTCGAGAATTAAATCTTTTATATGTTGGCACATTTTTTAAAATTTTTGAAAAAATTATTTTGGCTTTTTTTTTCTTTATTTTGGCTTTAAATTTGCTTTTTTACTTTTATACATGTTTGTTAAAATTTAAATTTAAATTGTTTTAAATATATATATATGCAAAATAAAATAAAAAAATACGTTTAAAATTCAGCACATATTCAGTTCTGATAAAATCACCTGTAAAAGAAAAAAAAAAAAAAAAAAAAAAAAACCGCACAGTGGCGAACTGCACAAAAATAAGAAATACATGTCAAGACAAAAAATTAAATATGAAATTTAAAATATTAAATATACATGTTTCGTTGCATAGTCACCAGGGTGTTGTGGTGCAATTGAAAGAGTAATAAATAAATAGATAAAAGTAAATAAATTAATATAAATATAAATAAAATATAGTAAATAAATAAAACAAAAGCAGCCTATTTCTGAACCGACAAGCACACAATTTAAGGTTTAAAATTTAAGAATTATCTTAGAAAAACTATTGTTTATATATATATATATAAACTTAAATAATTTGAACAGCTGCAAATTTAAGCTCAAAACCAAAGCACATTATACGCCGCAAGTTTACTTAATTCAGTGGCAATATTTATAGAATTCAAAACAAATTTAAAACATAATTCAATCAAATTCAAACATCATATTCAATTTTCGAATAATGGATTGGCAAATAAATCAAAGTTTCTAAAGCTAGTAATGCATATATATATATATATATATACACACAAAGAAACTTAATAAAAGAGGGGAAAAAGGAATTTTTTTAAACCCGTCCTGCGCTACTTTTAACTTTAGATGCTTTAAGTTTATGTATATGTATATAAGAGTTATTCTAAAACTCCCAGACAAAGCCAAGCCAGGTTATGAAGATAAAAAGAAGAATTAGTACAAAAATTATCACATACATGAATTAAATGCAAAATGAGTGACAAAAAAAGGCAAATGGATTTTACATCTCCTGGCATATCTTCGTCAGAAGGTTGGTGTATCGAGGAAAGAAAAAGAAAAAGCCTTTTTCTGAACTAGCATATATATGTAAAAAAATATATGCTCTTTCCTTCTATGAAGCAATGCGCGAAAGTTTTAAGGTAAGTCTTTTCTAAAACGTACACTTAAACGTATAAATTAACCTCAATTGAAAGTGTTAGCTGAGTATTGAAATCAGGTGCAAATATTCTCACAACTAGTTGTGAAAATAAATAAACTGAAGAATTATGTTCTTCAGTTTTGCCAAGGTTTGCAAAGCATTCAAAACTTAGCATTTTAATTGCTGCTATCTTCACGAAAAGCGTATCAATATGGTTTTAATGTGTAATTTAATAAGAACATTATCCAATAGCTACTGAATATTTCCTGTTTTATTTATCTATAAAAGTCTAAATAAATACAAGGAAAAACGAAATGCATATCTTAATATCATAATAAAGCATTGACTATATATTAAATTTTAAAATGTAATTTAAAGTTACTTATATTCTCAATATGATTTTAATACCATATTTAAAATCATTTTTGATTTTGTCACGCGAATTTTGTAATGTAAAGCTGTTTTCTATTACGCATTTAGATTTGCTTTTACTTGTAAGATAGAAACAGAAATAATTTTTCAAATAAGCTATTCCGGCTTTAATTTAGGGTTTTTTAAACGTTTTAAAATTGAATAACTAAATATAAATTTATATACTTTTTTTACATGCAATTTGTAACATCAGATTTTCCAGGTATGTATCTTTTTTATGTTAAATGGAATACTACACTTCATGTTAAATTTCACTTTTAAAACGATTTCATCGAAATATTTGAATTAAACACCACACGCTTCAATTGAGAGAAAACATCTATGAACCATAATTTTTAGTAGTTAAGGGCAACTTTGCATCAATACATCATAATACGTTTAACAAGCTAAGTAAGAATAACAGTAATATCTTATATGAATATAAATTTTAAATAAAAAACATACCTGTCTCTTTTTGTTCTCATCCGTAAGATTTGTTGCATAGTTCCAATGAGCGTCTACTAATTTGAAGCATTGCTCTGAACTGGCTTTATCATGGAAGTGAAGGAACTGAACAGCTGCTACAGAGTCTGTATTGTTGCCACTCACGTACCTGTCTTGTGTCTTCGTACCATATTCAGATGGTTTTCCCTCCAACTTTGGATCACTTACAATTTCTGGAGTGTTCTCAAGTGCTTCAATCGATTGAGATTTAGGCACTTCTGTTGGCAAAGTTTCTGCTTGAAATTCTTCAGTCGTTACGACATGAACAGTTTCTGTTGTAGTAGTTTCCGCAACTGATTCAGATACTTCAGACTCTTGGATTTCTTCTGAACTTGTCGGATTGTCAGTTGGAATTATTGTAGTGGTAGGCACTCTAGTAGAGAGAGTTTCAGCGACTTTATCGGCATTTTTGTTAGCTTGAGAGTTTAATAATTCTAAGGATTCTTTTTCCGTTACAGATCCAGCGGAAATAGGCTTGATAGTTGTGGAACTTTGTAATTCAATTTCTTTAGCAGGCGCACTGTCAAGTCCAATTTCCGAAGAATTTACTTCGAGCACATCAGCTGATTCTTTTTCTAACACAGCAGCCGTTTCAGGTTGCATATCAGCTATATCGCTTGTATCTATAGCAAACGCTGGCTCAGGAGATTTTACTTTCTGAATATCTGGCTCTTCAGAAGAGAAAGTAGTCTGTTTGGATTCTGTTATTTCTTCTGAACTTTTATCTACTGATGCTTCAGTGGAAAACAGAAGTTCTCTGATAGTTGTAAGAATATTTGAAGTAGTTGATTCTGGTTCTTCCTCAGATTTTAAAGTCTCTGCAAAGTCATCAGTTTCAATATCAGACTTACTTGGTAACTCAGGATCTTTATGAACATAGTTAACTTTTGAAGCATTCAAAGAAAGTTTTACTGCCCTAAATTCCAGTTCGTCTTCTAAACTTACATTTTTAGGTTTTTCATTTTCAGAAAATGATAACTTTGTTGTGCTATCTTCTTGAGATGTTGTTTCTGGAACTTCAGTAGATACAACAGTCGAAACTAATTCTGAACGTTTAGAAGTTTCTTCATTAATTTTCAAAGTATCAGTAGAAAGTTCAGATGCTTCATCAAGTGCTGATGCTTCCGAAGAATCAGCTATAGGATCAGATTTCAATTCAGCTTCACCGCTACGTATCATACTCTCTTCATCTTTGGAGTCTTTGCTTACAGTAACAGTTTCTGTGGAAGGAATACTAGAAGAAGTTTCTGCAGTTTCTTCAATTAGTTTTGTAGTTTCTATCACTTCAGAAGTTGGAGAAATCTCTGAAGGAATCTCAGACTTCAGATTAACGGAATGGTCTTCCTTGGTGGCTAGCTTTTCATTTGTTTCAGCAGAGGTTTCTGACGATGATAATTCACTCGAACTTCCAGCAGTTGGTGAAGATTCCTTTATTCCTGGTGTACTGCTAATATCGACTTCCGTAACTGTTCTCATTTCCTGATCGCTTGATATGTCTTCAGATTTCAAGATCAAGATAGGGATATTGGAAGTACTTGCAGATGTAGGGGAATTTTGCTCTTTGTTAAGTTCATGCAGTTCTGTTTCTTCTTTAGTAACATCTGCCAATTCTATATTGAGTTCAGTTTCTCTTTTTGTGGAAATTTCCTCTGGAGGATCAGATGTAGATGGCGAAAAGGATGTTGTCTCTAATTTTTCTTCAACAGGTGTTGTACTCTGTGCTTTTTTCCTATCTGACATCATCATCATATGCTTTACTGGGTCAAGAGGAGGAACATACTTTGAAATTGTCATTACTTCTACATCACTGTCTTCAGTTCCTTCGCTTATGTCCAAAGAAGTACTGGGTTCTGTAGAGCTAATGCTGTTAATATTCTTCGAATCTATAATCACAATAGTAGAGCTCTGCGGTTCATTAGGTACGGAAACTTCACTCTCAGTGGATAACTTATCATCAGTCTTACTTTCTATAACAGTTGTCACTTCTACTTCGTGTTTAAGTGGAAGAGTGCCGGATTTGTTTTCAACTGTAGCTTCCTTTTTATCAGAAGTTAGTGTAACAGAATTTTCGGTGAGTCCTGAACTTATTGATGAAAATGTTGTCGGTTCATCCGAGACTGTAGAAGATACTTTTGACGCGAGATCAGAAATGCTGTCAACACGTGTTTCTTCCGTTGAAGATAACTTAGTAAGTTCAGATTCAGGATTTCTAGTAGAGGAATTAAAGCTTAGAGGTTGAGGGGCAGCCCATGCTTTTTCTGACCAAAGCATCGCCAACGCCACTACTACGGAGAGCAGGGGCCTCATGATCTAAAATAGGTTAGTATCTAATCTTAATCCAGATTTCTCTCTCGAGTAGCGCGTGGAAGGAAATGCGACCGCTTTCTACCGATGGATGCGGATGGACTGAGAGAGGAAAGTGTGATGAGCGAGCATTAAAGCGATGAGGTGCTTTGGTGAAAGCCGGTTCCGCAGGTCTGGTGTCGATGCACTGGTTGCCCGCAGAGTCACGTGAGCTTCGGGGATCGGCCTGGCGGTCATTTTTTTCTACAATTATTATTCTCTTTCACGTGTTTTTATTTTCTGTAGACGCAACCTCGTCTGAATGGTTTTTTTTCTTCTTCTTCTGTTCAGCTAAACAATAGGTAAACACTAATCTGCATGTTTTTTCTGCCCTTAACCATTCGTGTGCCCGGGAAGATGAAGAGAGAGTTTTCTCTTTTAGCAAAAGCTTTATTTTGTCAGAGCAAATCTGTGTCGCATTTCTCTTCCTTTATCACAATATAGCCTTAGAAATATTGCCGTACATCGTCTTTGGCCTCAGTCATTTAAATGTTTTATTTTTAACATTAAAAATTTATCCTTCAGAAATATAAGACTTTTCCTTCTATTTGTTTCTTATTACAAAGGTCACGGAAAATTATGTTTTACCTTTCTTCAATTTCAATACCCTTCTTACCTTGTTGTAATCCGGGATCAGGAGTTTTGACAATTTTGTATTACTGTTTCTGTAAGAGAAACAAAGGAAAGTAAAATATGTACGCTATAAAGAAAGTAAAATTATGAATAAACAGTGTAGATCACGGACAATAATTTGGAAGTAATTAGTAACTTTAAAAATTTTGCATTTTCTTAAATGTTGTTGATAAATAGGATGAAACGTATCGAAAAACAAGAAAAGCTTATTTTAGTCAGATTTTTATTCAGTTACAAAAGAATTATAGTTTCGTGTCGCAGAATAAATTTAGAAAAACGTGCGGTAAACATTTCAAATGTGAAAAAAAAATGAGAAAATACAGAGTAATTACTAGCTCAAACTAAATCCAGATTGCTATTAAATGGGCTATGAATTTATTTACTTTTCGTAAGAATTATTGAAATAGATACGGTCTAACAATTACTAATCTAATAACAAATGAAAACGAAGCTAAACATACTGGTTAAACAGGTCTGATTAAGATAGTTTGCATTTTCGCTGGGAAGCTGGGGAATTTATTGACGCAAATATTTTTCGATCTCTAAAAGAAACAAAAAATTCAAAAGATAAATAAAACTGAGTACAACAACAGAATTTTCTCTTTATTAAAAAAAGTTTTTTTTTTCCTGTTGGTAGCATCATTCTTGATAATATTATACAAACTGCTGGCAATAATTTTATTTTGCATATGACTTATTAGGTGTTAGAGATAATAGAAAACAATGCATAACTTTAAATATATCTTGCTGCTGCACTTGACAGTTATATCTGTGGGCATAAAAGTATTATCCATTGAATGATATTTAAAATAATATGCGTAAATGAATTACATTTGTCATTGTCTTTGCAGAATTTTCTTTTTTATCATAAAATTAAGAATACATCAAAAATATCATTTAAATGAACTTTGTAAATAAATTTTAAATAATTACATGAGCCAGCAGAACCACGTTTATGCAACTCGCTTGCGAGAAGAGAAAAGAGATATTTCATATGATTCTTATATGGTTTTATGTTAATTAATCAGTTATTATGAGTTAAACCTTTACTATAACTTCTTCCTTTCGCAGTCTTTACCGGAATGAAAAATTTGTTATTTTATATTTAAGCTGAGGGTTTGAATGTTTATTGTTAGCTGGCAGCCTCGTTTTGCTCTCTCTAACTCTGCCTATGTTTATTTCGGACTTTAGCATCTTGATGCACTAACTATTTGGGCCAGCTTAAGTAGTCTATGGTGTATGTGGACTCAGACTACTTATACTTTTGAGTCGAATTTTATATTATGTCATCTGAAATACCCGCAAATAGCGCAGGTTCGTCTGTCGCACAAACAGTGCTTTTCCGTTCATTCAAGAGTTAGATTTAAAAAATGTTATTTTAACTTTCTTGAGAGTTGGCTATTTGTTTCGAACTAAAGCGATAACTCGCTTCCAGTGTAATGAGTAAGCAGGTCATTGACACAAGCTTCTGAGCACAGTAGTATACTTTTTTAGTACAGTAGTACTATATACGTTTTTCGAATATTTTGTAGTTACAGTTTTTCAAAGAAATGAATATCGCTGAGCAAAAGTAAATATTTTTACATATTAACATAGTTAAAATAATGAATCAATTAAATTTTTCCCCTTCAAAGCTTACTAGATGGCATACCTTGCCTTCTTTTAATTAGATTGGATTTATTAAATTATGGCAAAACGCATTAAGGTTTCTCTACGTAAGAGGAAGGTTACCTTAGTGGAGGACTTCCTCAGGATAACTGACTAGTATTCAAGTTTACGCATGAGTAAATATAAATAAATAGCCTGCTGTCAGGCATCTGTTGAACTATCAGTCTTAGTGGTGGCGATATGAGCTCGATGTTGGACTATAAGGTATTTCTCCCGCCTTCTTAGCATGCCTTCGTGGTGTAGTTGTCAGCAAGCTCGACGCTAATTCGAGAGGTCCATGGTTCGAGTGCCGGCGAGGGCATTACTCGTTTTTCACATCTTCTGCTTCGAAATAACCTAATGTCGCTGCTGTGGCGCCCGAACTAAAAGGTGGTGAATGATGATTCTTCACCAACAAGATTTGGCGATTGGATTCCCTAAAACCCCAGTCACCCTTTAAAGGGAGGAGTATATTAGGTATTTATCCCTCCTTCTTAGCATGCCTTCATGTGGTTAGCACGCTCGACGCGAATTCGAGAGGTTCGTGGTTCGAGTCCCGGCGAGGGCATTGCTCATTTTCATATCTCCTGCTTCGAAATAATCTAATGTCGCGACAGGACCTGCTGTCGTTTGATGAAACGGATATGCTAAATTTACCTTCTGGATAGATGTTCCCAAGTTTGCTATTTTTCATATTGTATATTTCTATCATTTAGTTGCCCATCAGCGCCCGAGGAGTAAAATCGCTGAATACTAGTAGTTCCGACCCGGGTTCCAATCTAGGCTGACAGGCTGGCTGCGTGGGCATTTTCGTGGTTTTCCCCACGTGCAACATGTATACGAGCCAGTTTTCCTTAGAAAGGTCCTTCAGCAAAACATCCTTCCCCTTACGCAGAGAACCCTAGTGTGCTTTGACCACATAATAAACCAAACCAAACGATTATTTACTTAAAAATATGCATTTGTATTTTAAGAAGGAAACCGTCTGAATTACACGAATTTATGTTATATTTCTTCAGCGTTTCTTTCAAACTAAGTTCTATTACTCACAGTGCTTCTTGCATATCTCAAATACATATCAAAGAGAAAGAACAATGGTTATGCACCTAGAAAGATTATTTTATAGCGACTGACCCAAAGAATAATGATTTTTCTTCTCGCATATTTAAAGCAATCTGCTAGAAAATATAAATCACTACTTTCGTCCTATCTTTACTTTATTGCATTGGATTTGTCAACTTATTAAAATTTTACATATTATGTCAATTTAAGCTTTAAAATTTATTTTGAATCGAGTGCAAAAATTTTCAAAAAACCTGAAACGAAACAAATTAATTTCATCAGTATGAATGATAATAATAAGTAAGGAACTATTTTCATTAAAAAATGAGATGGGTTTCATGCCTGAGTGTAATTAAAATCTGAGTGAAATTTTTTAAAAATTATAGAGTAATCAAAGAAACTTTTTAATTAGATTACTTTTTCTAACGCTATTTAATAACAAAAAAATTATATAAAATTTCATTTATATAAGCTCATAAATTACTCGAAACAAAAAAGTTAAGTAGAACAACAAATGATGCATCAAAACTTTATGCATGTTGAGAATAGACTAACAAACTTACAAATTATAACATTTACTTTAATACCTTCAGAATATTAGCCTTTATGCAATATTGTACATTACATGTTTAAATATACTACTTGCATCTTCTTTAATGATATTCATGAACATTCGATTTTCATGTCAAGATTCTGAAGATTATCTTCTTAGAATTCTTAAAAAGAAATTTTAATTTAATAAATAATTGACAAATTAAATTACATGTCAAATCTGCGACTGCTATTCAGTATTACACATTTGTTATACACATATCTGAAATTAAAAAAAAAAAAAAAAAATACTTGCTTTTATTTTACTAGTTGAATTTATTACTTTTAGACTTTTATTTGACTTCACAGAAAAACGTAGCTGATTCTTAAAAAAATTTGATTTGTGTTTAATTCTTCTAATGTAATGGCAGCTAACTTCTCTCAGTATCTGTTGAGAGTATCGCGGCAAAACATCGCAGACGAAAACGTCGCCGAGGAAACGAGGCAAGGCGAAAAAGTTATCGTACAAAACGTCGAGGGAGGAAAAAAAAAAGGGGGGAAGATATAGCAATTTTAAAACATCGATTTCAAAAATAGAGCTATGAAAACATCGTGGTAAAAAAAGAACCTAAAATTCATTGCATGATGATAAAATTGTAAACATGTGGTTTTCAGGCTTCAAAAGTTGTATGCATATTTGCATTAGAACTTTTGAGTGCAAGAAGGAATGAGGGATATTTTTAGTTTTATATTTCATATTTTTGAATTAACTAATGAGTTTTTGGGTGAAAAAAAGTAAGAAAAAATCTTAAGGATTCAAAAACTGAAGTAGAAAATTAATGCTACTACTTCCAGTTAACACAGTTTTAAACTTATGTAATTAACTAATAAAGCCATTCATTAATTAAGCTCTTTTAAAAAGCTTTATTAGTAATTTTTCCTCTAAAAATTTTAATACAAATTTTAAAATTTGGTAATAATGTTTGAAGTTTTATTGGTAATTTTTCCAGTAATTTCTTACTCATTTTCAGTTTGTGAATGCTCAAGATTTATTCTTTCTTACTTTTCTGAAAAAATTTATTAGTTATTTAAAAAATATGAAGTAAAAAGTAAACGTATTCCTCATTCCTTCTTGAACTTATAGATCATTATTAGAAAATGCATTTACAACGTTTAAAGCATGAAAAAGACATGTCGGCGATGCATGTTTTGTATATGCTTTATTTTTTACTACGATGTATAAGACGACGAGGTTTTTA